TTTTTTTTTTTTTTTTCAAAGCCAAGATCCTTTTGTGTGTCTATAAAAAAGGAGGTGTGTAAGGGGGGGGGGGGGGAGGAGTGACTGAATCTGAAACATTCTCTCCACAAATCAAAGAGCCCAGTTTCTTTGCAAAAGGAACTAGGTTTCAACAAAGCTTCCTGCTGGATTTCCGTCTGGGTTTTCTTCAGTTTGAAAGGATCTTTTAACCCTAATCCTCCTGCTCTGCTTTTTCAGATGAAAGAAGGAGTTGACAGAAACAGTCTTCCCAGTATGTGTGTTCACATTCTTTTTGTTAAACTAATACAACTGCTTCAGTTACATTTTCCAGTGCTTAGCTGCCAGATATGCATTTCAAAATATATTTGTCCTTCCTTCACCTTAGGCCAATTTGGTTTTGGTTTCTTAGCAGTCCCGGAGGAGTGCACCAGTTTAAAATTGTTTCAGCAACTCAATCATCCACATAACTGATTGCATAAGAATATTTCTTGCTATAATCATTCTTTGCACATTCTTTTTTAAAAGACATCTTACCTTGACCCTGTCAAGGTGTAACTGATGGCACTGGTTGTGGCAATACATCATTCTAATATCAGCGTGTTTTTGTGGGACAATATTTGCTTGCTCTTTGAATGTCTATGTTATTTTTGCATGTTTGCCCTTTATTCTTTTAAGTTTCTACAAAGCTAGGATTCACTGTTTTTCAAGCTAACCTGCTTTGCAGGGTTGTTGTGAATATAAAATGAAACGGAAACCATGTAAGCAAGGGGTGGGAAAAATGTATCCCTTAAAAGATTGTTGGACTGCAACTTCTATTATCGAAAGCATTAGTCACACTGGCTATAAAAGATTATTTCAACAGCATTTGAAGGAGAGCCACATGTTACCCATTTCTGATGTGAACCATCCTGAGCTCATGGAAGGATGTGTGTAACAGAAGGACCTTAAATAAATAAGTAAAGTACCACATATTCATTTCCAAAGCACTCTCTGATGGTACCGATACCTTGCAATCAAACTCGGCTACGATTGTATTCTTTCAGCCTGAAACAACGATAATTTTTGAGTTAGCCCATGCTTTATTTATTTCTTTTGTTACATTTGCATACTACTGAATCTTCTAAAGATATCCAGTGGGTTATAAGTGACTCATGCACGCTGTACAGAGGCTGGTTTGGTTTTCTGGATTTAGTGAGAATTGCTGCTTTTCAAATGTTGCAACCGCGTGGGAAAGCCGGCCTGAGCTCAGGTCTGTTTGTAACATGATGGTCGCGCAACTGCTGGTCAAATGTGGCAGTGAGGGAAACCGTGACCTAATGGGTCAGCATTTGGCATGAGTTGATCTGTGGGCTCCCTTAAAAAAATTGAAAGAAGACTCCCTTTGTTCTCCCCTTCCTTGTGGCTTCTCACAAAGAGGGCCTCATGAAGAATTTTTCCTCCAGGATTTCTTGTCCCTCTGCGTCCCCAATCTTACTATGGTTGCTTTTTTTTCTCTAGCGCTTAGAATCACAGTTTCTCCTTGCATATAAGGTCAAAGAAATGTTTTTAGATTCCTTGAGTAACACTTCTGATTAGACTTTTGGGATGTAGCAGATAATGACTTTCCTCTGTACTTAGCACTTTTACTTTTTGATACATACAAATGATGTTCAGGCTCTCTATATAACCTGACCGTTCTAGTTCCAGGCTTCATTCTTCTGGTCTGGTCAGCTGAAATGGTCTCTTTCCATCCTTATGTCATTTTGACTCATACTTATGCATTTTAAAATGTCAGATTTTAAATTTTATGGGTGTTTTCATAATTGCTATAGTCTATGTTAAAGCACATGATCTGTAATCCAACTTTTAAAAAATCAGTTATCCTGTTACAAAGTGGCCATTTTCTCCATTAGTCATAGCATGATACAGCTACATTTGCAATTTATTTATTGATTTGATTTATATGGCCACCCATTCATGAAGTGACATTTTACTTTGATTACTGCAGAAAATATTCATCAAAACCATCTTATGTCTTAATTTTTGCCCAATTATTTATGATTTCATAGTTTGAATGAAAGTCATGCGGTTTTGAAACAGTAATGTATACTTTTATACATTTATCTGAACTGTATCAAAATACCTGATATCTTGTTTCTCAAAGGGAGTTCCTGGAGTAGGAAAAGAACAGGCTTTAAAATTGATCAAAACTTTGAAAGGACAGAGTTTACTGCAAAGGTATGTTTTATCTTATTTTTAAATTGTGTCTCACATTTTCTCCTTTCCTTTTTCTTTCAGGGAGTAAGTTCTTCACATGATTCAGATTTATACTGTGTCCCTATATGTACATTGTGTAAATAGAAAGGGTTATTTTTCAGTGCTATACATTTGTCACCATTTCAATATTGTTTTAGATTGGAGAATTGGAAAGACCACTTCCAGTCTGGTGATATCCCCGTATCAAGAGCTAAAAAAGTGGTTCACTGTTCTGTGTGTCGCCATCCAGGTGAGTCAGCTCGTAGCTTCAGAAAAGAGGTTCCGTGTATTGAAGTCTCCCTTTGAATTGTGCACCCTGGTGTATCAAGTCTGATATGTTATGATTATGATGAGATGTGATCACTACCTCCTTTTCTCTGAAAAGAAAAATTAAGCCTCTGGTCCAAGCAGTTCTGTGTAGTACAGTGTTGTTCAAACCTGGCCACTTTAAGATGAGTGGATTTCAACTCCCAGAATTCCCCAGCCAGCATGTGTTGG